ATGTTGTAACCATTGTGTTTCTTTCAGTAATAAGATATTTGATATAATCGAACTCCTTATAGTTTGGCGGAAGCTTGAAGTAACTCGGTTAAAAAAATCGTTACAAGATTCTCGTTTTGAAACGGGCAATAAAAATCCAGCAGCTGAGAGGTTAGATATAATTTTTAGTGCTGTAAAATTGTCTAGCTCAGCACTCCCAAGGCCCACTTTATAGCCTAGATGCGGCATTAAAACAGGTAACTTTACTGCCACCCACCCTCTTTGAGGTATTATTGCTACCTTTGTCCGCAAATTGAACCCCCGACCTCATACAACGATTTTAAATTACTTCTGACTTTAACGACCAAACCGACAATCCTATTATTGCTTTTACAACAATAGCGAATAGCGAATTGATACTTTCACTTGGTTAATTATTAACTAGCAATAATGGTACTACATTACAAAATAGGTTTTACTACGCAAAAGGGCTTATTATATCAATCTAAATAGAATAGACCTTATATTATATAGATAGAAGACATGTTATTGCTGGATGCTTCTTGACTTAATATTATTTCAAGGAACTCTGAAATGAAAATATTAAAGATACTTTGTTATCAGCTATACTTTTTTTTATTGTCTGTAGTTTATGCGATCAGTACACATTTAAATAAAACACTTAACACTTTAAACATATTATTACGAAATGTATTAGTCATTTACAGACCCCCGTGACTGCAACTGCTGCCACGCATCCGATTTTACAATAAGTTAACAAAAACATTACATGTTTTAAACAGTTAAATAAAAAATGTAACCAACCTATTGGTTTATATCGACCAAACTATTGGTTGTACTTAACCTTGCCGTTAAGTGAAAGCATACATTTTGTACTGGTACTGATTGTACAAGCGTGGTTCGCAACAAGATTTTAAAAGAATCGATGTTTAAAACTGTTTAGTTTTTGAATAAGGAATGACTACATTAAAGGAATAAACGTACAAGCGACTTGTTGTTGAGCAATTATCTGAGAGCTCCTGTTTTCTATTCAAGGACCACAGCATAAAAGACGCGGTACTGAAGTAATACCTCTAATGCTCTCCATACTTACTCGTATTGCCAATCGTTATCTGATAAGCAGGGTGAAAAATGGAAAACTTAGTCACTTTTTCAAACTTTTGTCCCACCCAAATGAGAATCTCAGCACTGATTGTACAATTAAAATACTTTACATAACAGTTAATAATTACTGTTACTCGCTGAAGGAAAAGGAAAAGTTATCAAAGTTAACAGCCACCGACGGATGCAAGGGCGTGTCATCGTCTAGAGATTCTTAGATAATTTACATGTCAATATAAACTGAAGGCTCCATTCTTTGCCGAATATCTATTGCATATAACTTGGCGTGTCCCCAAGTAGCGAGCATAACAAAGGATGCTAAGGCAGGTCGTACGCGAACTACTTGCGATTAATATGAAAATTGTTCTAATATTGCTTAAAAATATAATCGCGAGTTTTCAGTAATTTGTGCATTAGATAGTCAAATATTTAGCAATTAAAAACTCTTTAAAAAACGTAATTAACGATGCTCGAATTCTAGGTATGTTGAAATATATGAAATAGTCATAATCGCACGACTTCGTCGAGCGCGTATAGAGGGCCTAAATAAAAGAGATTTAGGATGCATAAATGAATTTAAAACTTTGGAATAACTCGACGAGACGACGGAATGACGAGCGTTTCATTTTAACAGTTTTATTTAAACTCCAAGAAGTATATTAAACTCGAATGTCGCAAGATTTATATCTTTACTTATATCGCGCGATGAATGGAAACTTTGTTCTGAATCACGCTAAGGGTATAATTACACATTGCCAGTGGAGTTACGTACAGTCGAATGGAGAAGACTATTGTCAATTTTAATTTTTGACATTGATTACTGACAAAATCATAAGAAGTGTTTTTCTGAAAACATTAATTGCTTTTTCGCTTCTATTTCAAATATTGAACTAAATATAACTTACTAACTAAATTAACTAAATACTGTTCAAAAGAATGTTCCTATAGTGCAAAAAAGTAAACCTAGAACACATCGTCAAATATTAAGCCAAGACCGACAGCACGTCTACCTCATTTGACGGGTAAGCATTTTCTACTCTCGACTGTACATTATTTTGCATAGTTCCAGAGATACTTGACTTTTTAGTTAAACAATGCAGACGGTATTTAAACGACTATCGTGTCTTTTAATTTTCCACTATTCGGACAAAAGTTTCCTTTTGAGGTATTTTGGACCAGCCAAGTTTGAAGCCTTTAAAAGCCGTCTTAGCATTCTAGTATTTCACGATTAAATCAACCTTAAGTTTGAATAGATATATGTTAGCTATATATCCCTAGAGAATCGCAGTTGTTAACACACTGAGAATAGGTAAACAGTCCCAAATTCATATTCAAGAATTCAGTCAACTTAGAATAGGCTCTATTTATCAGAGAAGGAAATGATCTATCACGTTGAAATAACAGAAGCGTGGTCGTTAGGTCCTGGCAGGGCAAACCTGGCGCGAAGCCAAGTCTTGCGATGGGCAATGTTTCACTGTTGGCGATTTATCCAACTGTGAACGACGTAATTTCGATCCTTACAATCCTGTAAATTAGATATTGGTTTTATTGCATTCCTAGATTTATTCTAAAGGGAAAAACATTAAAAAAATATATTTTTCATGACACTAGTCAATACCCAGACCTATAAAATGAAAGCTGAGATGCGCGGTCGACTTATTGACTGTGAAGGTTCTAAAATTCACAGATTGAAACCAAAATTCGATTAAAATTGACGTCTTTTCACTTGTGGACGGTTTTTCCTGACCCGAAAGGATTTGCTACCACTCGTTTAATATCCAGATTTTGTCAAATACATTCTTCGACGCAGTCTAATATTTCTTAGAAGAATAAATTGGTTCTTAAAACATGTTAGACCCATTTAAAAACCGAGCCCACGGTCCGTAAATGATAGCCATACATTGCTACCATCGAATCAAAGAGTATGTCTAAGTCCCTAGTTTTAAAGATGTAATAAGCAATGGATATATAGCATTACTAATGTTGTAAAAGTCAGACTTTAAACATTTATTTTTTGCCTTCAAATTAAACATTTTGAACCGTCTAGAACACGAAATTTACTTGTTGAATTATTTTAACTTTGAACCAACGTTTTGGATGCTTTATTTTTGAAACAATACGTTTAGTACTAAGCTTCATTTAGTATAAAAATCTCGTGACACATATATATATATATCTACTTTTTGCCTCCGTTTATGTTGTATCTCACTATCAAGAAAAATAAATACTGTCGTTATTCGGCGTGTGGTGCTCTATGATAAAAAACAAATATTTTATCTATTTCGCAAACAAAGTTTATTGATTCCTCGCGTAGTTTGGATCAAATATTTTTCTTGACTCCCTGGAGCGGTTCCAAGCGGTGGGGCGGTACTGAATTGCTTCCTTCCGAACTACACAGTCTATAGAATGAACAGTTGTTCGAGAACTCCTTTAAATGCTTTTATTTATAAATTCTGTTAAAGTTCATAACAATTAGATATATAATCGTGCGAGAAGGGACACATTTAAGATTTCGATTCCAAGCCATATATGGCTTGCAAGCCAAATAATATTTATGTTATTAATTTATAATTTTTTATCAGTAATTAATTTAAGGTTATTAGGAAAATCAACATTTTGAATATAAAATGACGACTATGTAGTATATATGTATATATACAAGCATATTGTTACAGAATATCTTCCTATTAATTAATAAATCGTCGTTAATCTATAAATGTTTAAAAAATAGTGACAAGAGCTCTTAAATAACCCTTGCGTAAAACTTATATAGCTAATACATACAATACAATATTAAATTTAGATTCAATAGAGTTTGGGTTTTAGTTTGTCGTTGGTCTGAATTTTGAAAACCGAAAAGTCGACAGCGCAACTCGATGAGATGTTATATGGCTTGTCCGTCCTACTCTATAAAAAAATAAACAATGATAAATCCAATATACTTTTGACTAAGACTGGAAATCTACCGAAGAGCTTGCCTCAATCACTAACTAATAATATATTTACCCACATAAATTATGATAATCTGCAATGATATTGCGCATCTGTTAGTTTATAATCTGTGGTGAGATGTAAAGAGTTGTTTTAAAATGAGTCAATGCTGGAAGTGTGCACAATTTGGCATCTCTCGTGCTTTGCGAATCGGAAAAAATTTGCAGCCGCATTCTAACAATACGTCGAGCACAAAGAGCGCTTATGCTTTGAATAAATAGCTTTCGAGGTCTTAATAGCCCCGTACTGGAAATAACGATCAAAAATATGCACGATGTGTTTGACATAGGTTAAAGTCAATGTAAAAAATCACACAGGTAACTAGGTACGCTTTACATTTACTACTAGTGACTGAATACGAATGACAATTACGACGGAGCAGATGGCGCTAGATTTGCAATTTTTACTTCAAAATTAGGGACCTTCAGTCCCGCCTGTGATCACGGCTGCTGCAAAGCTTTGAAACGTCGGGCTGTAGATAAAATTGTTAATACATTTCGCATTTCAAACCGTCCAAAGTGTTTTATTTATAAATAACAATTTCATGTAATGGTCAATTTAAGAATTGTTATCACTGCATCTTGATTTATTGAACGAGACATTACTTGAACCGCGCTGGTTCAGTCTTTTGGACGTCAATGAACAAACGAATAACTATTTTTGGTGTATTTAAATTTAACAACCCTTTTTATTAATATACTTTTTATAAAAAAGAGCCCTTATACCTACCTAGGTATAAGGGCTCTTTTTTATAAAACGTAACTATGGGCAGGTGCCCATAGTTACGTTTTATTTAAAATTGTCTTGAAACTTCATTTTGTAGACTATAGCGCTGCTTTAAATACTGTTTACTTTTGAAAAGCAAGATACCTATCAGATAAGTACAACGATACTCATCTTTGTTCCAGGGTAGACTTCAGAAATGGTCCTCCTACTCATTGGGCCGTCGCTGGAGAATTCGGCTCCCGAGCTCACTTCGTCCTGAACGAGTCAGACACGACATCAGCGCATTTGGTCGTTGAGAAAGTAACCCAGTTCGACGAGGCGGTGTACCGATGCAGGATAGATTATATCGACTCCCCCACGAGAAACTATAGAGTCAATTTGACTGTAATTGGTACGTTTTAAAACCTACATACTTAAAAGGAGAACTGCACAAAAGTGGACGTTTGACTGGTAACAATGTATCCTATCAAGGAGTCGTGGGTTCGATTCCCATTAGATCCAAAATTTATATCAATTTATGTTTTTTCTGAAACATATTGGACTTCATCTGGATGTTAAACGACTTTAACTTTGACTGTTCGTAGAACTTAAAGAATATTAAGGCCAGTGGCAATAGCTGTATTTCAAGTAATGAATATTGTATACTCATAGTTACCAAATCCAACATAGTTATGCCCCATAATGTATATCTTTTGTTACAAACTTAAATATTGTTTTTACGTATATGTATATAGACTGCTAAAATAATTTTATCTATTCTTAATAATAATAATTAATTTATTAAGAAAAGATAAATCAAATAAAACATAACTATGTTCGTCTTTGGTAACAGACAGTAGACTTAAGTGTAAACAATAATAAAATCTCATAACTCTTACAGTTCCACCCGACCCGCCCAAAATTTATGACAACGAAGGTCGTGAGATATCTGGTAACATGGCAGGGCCCTACAGAGAGGGACAGGACCTAAAGTTGACCTGTCAAGCGCCCGGTGGTAGGTGATAGATATGTTATACTGCTATATAATATTGTGCCTAAAATGTAATAAAAATTGTACTGACGTTTTAACAACGTCATGATAGATTTAAAATCAACAAGGTATATTAGATTAAACAGTTTAAAACGCCAATTTTTTAACTTAACTTGTTTACTATTTGTTTGAACTATGCCGCCATGCTAATTACCCGTAACGGTCCGGCCGTATTTTTAACAGTTAAAAGCTTTTATTTAAATGTTTGTACTGCAGACAGTATTTAAAACCAATCGATATTTAATTAAAACTAAGTTTAAGTTAACTCTTTAAATGTATACTAGTAGAATAAAGCCCTATAGCAGTAAGAAAATAGAAAATATGATAGATATGTACTGTCTATAGTTTACGCGAGTAGTACATGATTTTCTATGATAGAAAATTACGCGAAACATATATATATATATATAATCTTATAACAGTTATGACAGTTCTTTCTATGGTGATTTTTAGCCTTATAATTTTAAAAAGAATTGAACCTATATTTGTAATATAAATATGTAACAAATGGTATATATTAATTAAAGAATGTATAGCGCTACGTAATTAAAAATTAAAATATTAGTTCTACTATCCGCCAGTAGTTATTCATACAAAGAACTTTATCGATGAGATTTTTCAGGCAAGCCGCCGCCAGACATAACTTGGTACCACGGGGACGAGCGTCTAGGCATCGCGAGGGACGCTTCTAGTTGTCAAGTGCACATAACGAGTCTGTCCCGGGAGATGAGTGGCGCCAAACTAAGGTGTAGGGTTAACCCACCGCTCTTGCAGACGCTAGTGAGGGATGTCACGCTTAAAATGTATCGTAAGTACTCTTTCTAAGTAGTTCTTATATGGCTTAGTAAAAATAATAATTGGTATGAGATATTTGGTATGATAGAGGAGGACAGAGAAGCATGCCGACCTATTTTGGCTTTTGGTATTCAGAAATCCACAGCTGAAACCAAAATGCGCCTTTTCATTTGTGGATGGTGCTTCGTCATCCGGACGGAAATTTCGATATTCCTACCACTCATTTAATATCCAGAGTTCCAGATTATGTCCAACATGTTACAGAAAAATTATAAATTAATTAGAAAAAATTTGCAGTCAGTGGCGGTCAGGCCTATGGCCTGTTGATTATCAGCAAACATTGCTATTAATGCACTAACGAGCCCGTGCAATGGCTTATTGATCAAGAAAGTTATAAAAATAATATTTCGTACAAGAAGAGTAGATGCAGTGTTACATAATTTTTAATGATCTATCTATTATACAAACAATTAAATTTGGGATATTTCTTTTAATATTCCGAGAGTCCAAACGCAAAACAGCGCCTCTTGAACATTGTGTACCTACCTATAGTGTTTCACCTTCTGTCAATTAACACACCATTACTCTGTATGCATATTAAAAAATATATGCTTTATATTTTTTAATATTTAGATTTTTGGTGTAGTTTAACTAACGTATGTTTAACTCAACAGTAAAACCACAGTACGTGCGGGTTTCGGGTGGTGGTGCGACTCGAGCAGGGCACGAGAGGTCTTTCGTTTGTACCACACGTGGGTCGAAACCAGCTCCCAATATTGACTGGTTTATAAACGCCCAGAGAATCGACTCTTCGTTAACGCAAGTAAGATATCAATGTTTGATTCTAAAGTTACAAACACCCAGACTAATAATTATCAATATAAATATACGAATAATTATTATTGTAAAGGAATTTATCAATTCAACTAAGAGATATATTTGTATACAAAATAAGTCAAAAATAATACCTTGTGAACAGTTTTATATGAAGAAACATTACTTTGTCATTTGCAAATTTTTTCTACGCGTCTACGATTATAGCTACGGCGTGCTACAATATTCGTAACGCCGACAAGTGCTTCGCTTTTCGTAGGCCCTGCTACGAACAATTAACATTATAACATCAATATATTTACTAATATATTTTTGTTGCTGTTATTTTACATTTCAATTACAGTTTGACTTTAAAATATGTGTTTAATTTTGTAAAATAATAGTTACCGGTGATTTTGCAAGGTACAAAAGCCTATAAGTCTTATATTTTATTTTCAAGCATTTGTTATACTTATTGAAAAACACTTTAATAACAGGTAGAAGTTGACGGAGAATTGACGAGGAGTGTGCTAACATGGAGAGTACGACGAGAAGACAGTGGCAGGGAGTTTGTATGTAGAGTCTCAAACCCTTGGTTTCCAGCGTATACTCTAGAAGATTCTATTGTTCTTGAAGTGATTTGTAAGTACCTAAATTAATATATACTAGTATATAAAGCTGATGAGTTTGTTTGTTTTTAACGCGCTAATCTCAGAAAGCAATAATTCGAATGGGAAAATTAATGTTTGTTAGTTAGAACATTTATCGAGTAAGGCTTTGCGCTATATAACATTCTATCTATAGTTTACGCGAGTAGTACACAGAATAAAACACTTTAACGGTTTAAAACGCGATGTATTAGTTAAACTTATTTGAAAATGATTTTTAACTTCGGCCCGACGTTTCGTATGCTTTGCAGCAACCATGGTCACGGGTAGACTCAAGTCTCTCAGTCTGCTAGTCTCAGTCTCAGTCAAATAATATATCGCTTTATAAACCGCTAAAAAAACATGAGGAAAGTTATTCATCCTTGTGGTTTTCCATTGCGTACGCTGCGCAGACGATTTAAGATACCCAAAAAAATATGTATTATGAAGGCTCCTCCTCCTCTTTGAATGATCTAAAAATGTCTGCGCTACTATATGTCTATCTTTTAAGATTAAATGTAATTTATAAAGCTGTGGGGTTTGCAAAAATAAATTTGGATGCCCAAAATAACTTTTCTATGCGAACGAAGTTGCTGACACAGCTAGTAAATAATAGAATACCTTAAAAGATGTTTATTGTAATTTTCAACTTCGTTATATTATTAAAAACTTTAAAGTGTTGTAAGATAAGTGCGTCTATCTATAATATTGGTCAAATAACCTTAAAATAAACAGTGAATAAGGTTAGTCCAGGTTGGCATATTGCATGGCAAGTCGCCAGGTTCGAACGATGCGATACGATTCCTTATCACTGATAACAGGATGATAGATAACGACGGGTACAGCTCCGTATACATTCCTAATCCAGTTCTAACAATACTTTGTCCTACTAAAACTACTTCGGTTGTATTTGTTCTCTTTCCTTGATTATATTCAAACTACTTGACTGATTTCTATATAATTTACCTAGCAAGTGTTTTTAGCAGATTTACTACGAATATTCAGGTAGTAATCTGTCAGTTACTGAATATTTGTTTAGGTATTTTATTATAGGAACTAAATAATTATTAAAATTGAGAAAAAGTTAATTAATTAAATTTACATGTCTTTAGACTTATACCACCACAACAAATCTTTTTGTAGTTTTTTACACGAAACGTTTTAAAAATTTTTGTCATCTTAGAAATACGTCCATATTTTTCTTTCTTTAAATCTATAACATTAAAGAATATGAATAAGTTCGCCGGATATATTTCAAGGCGAAAATCAATTTAAAAAAGCAATGCAACTTTTGACTAAGCCCTATGGTGGCAAATGCGAGGTTTTATAAAAATGTATTGTCATGACGACAAATACTTTAATGTATCAGTGGATTTCTATTCTCCTCTATAAAATGTAATCGCAAACAACGTCCGTTCAGTTCGATGCATTTTATTTCCAACTTTATTTATTTAAAGCGCAACATTCTAAAAACAACAGAGGCCGTAAACAGTTTATGAACGCACGTCCTAAACAATAAACAAAGTTACAATGCAAACAACGTGATAATTGTACTAGTGGATACTTTGTGCGGACTTTGCTGACAACGCGTTCGGAATATACAATTGAATTTACACTTAATTCAATTCCGCGAACCAATGGTTATTAACACCTGATTATATTTAACTTTGTGTGCGATAGAAAGTCTTTATACTTTGCATCGAATAAAAATCTCGCTCTACTTGTTCATGTGTGAGAAGACGATATTTATCCTGTTCTATATTAAATATTTAGTATATTAAAGATGATTTTTGAAAAACGAAAAGTGAAAGGATGTTTTATTTCCCCATCAAACAGCTTTAAAGATATATCATTGCTTTTCCGGCTGTTCGGTCGACGTTTCGCCATCAAGAGTTTCGCCATCATATCTTACATATCACTAGTCCACGGACGGCATCAGGAGATCTTATTAGCTCCTCAATTCATCGAAGAATTAAGAACAGCCCGAAAAACAATGATATGCTGAACGATGGCCGTGAAACCCTTATACATTTTATAAGCTTTAAAGATCTTGTTATAGTGTGAAATCCCGTGTACCCCAAAACTTCTCTGCCATGCCCGACCGAAACTTTTCGCTATTTATAATCTCGGAGCCTTAACGACATGGTAAGAAACGGTTAACCATTGGCCTACGAAGACAGTCTTACATATCACTAGTCCACGGGTAACTTATATATTACATTTATTCTGCTTTTGACAACTAAACTCGATAATTATTAAATGGAAAAGGTGTAGTTTAATTTTATTATTTAATATAATAATGTATATTAATTAATGTTAAGCTTTAGATACAGACCAATAGATAATATAACGCTGTATTTGTAAACAATTTTAATATTAGTACATCGTTTGTTAATACTGAACTACCTGTGTCAGCGACGTCGTCTGCGTAGAATAATTATCTTCGGCAGCAATATTTGTTTTGGCAAATCTTCTTATAAAGCTAAACTTATAAATTCAAGCTGTTATGCACGACGTGGGTCGCGTCCCATCGTTCTTGCAAGTTAATAAAATATATAATATAATAGTGTCGGGGATTTTTTTTAGATTATAAAGGAGGGATCATTCTTACATACATTGTTTATTTATTTTTCAATCCGATCCAATCTTGAGATTAGCGCATTCAAACAAACAATTGAACAAACTCTTCAGCTTTATATATTAGTATAGATTTTCTTTTTTGCCAACATCATACTAATTATAGAGGAAAGAAGCCGTCGCTTCATTAAAATAACGAAACAAATTAATTAATGATAGCAATTGCAGTGTAGAGGGCGCCACACTGGGTGCATCTAATTAATAAGGCGTACATTTTGCGCAATGTGTTGTGTGCTTAACTATCCTTATTATTTGCAATGCTTGTCTGGAACTGTGCAATGGGTTACTTCCTAAATTGTTTGGTTTATTTGCGAGTTCTAGTTATATTGTAATGCATTTAATACAAATGCTAACTTGTTCGGAAGTTTGGGCTCGTATTCGTGTGGGTAATTTTGGCAGTTTAGTAGCCTCACTGTACTCAGTACTTTTTCAAATGTTTAATTAATATTGTTTAATAGGATAAGCTTAAGCGTAAACAATATTATGAAGGTAGAGCATACTTATATCAAAAGTGATTTGATTTACACTTTTTTTTTAATAATTACGTAGGGTAACTTTGCTGAAGAAGCTTTGAATAAAAACAAAACACGGTTTGCAACATACAGAGACCATATTCTAAAAACTTGGGATAAGTTTTCTATATTTCGCGAGCTTTGGTTTCGGGTGCTGTGGTGATTATACAGTTCTCTCTAAACTTTTTGGCCGGGCTGAAGTTAGTGCGACCGCCATCTTGAGCATGGTACTGTCAATTTTAAGCAAAAAGTCCAGCCGCCTCGCATCCCTCTTATCGCAACTGACACCTGCATTTTGCGTTCTGTCCAACCATCCGGCCTAACTTCAGCAGGGCCAAAAAGTTTGGAGAGCACTGTACTTTTTAAACTAGTTTGTACCTTGAAATATTTTACCTCAAACAGTTTTAATCATAGATAAAGGACCTTATTCGACAAATGAAAAGGCTTTAATCAACACAGTGACATACTAACTCAACAGCGTATTGTTCCGAAAATGGACGGCGTCATACAATGCTCGTTTATGAAATTATAGGAATAAGCTTTTAGTCGCGGTTGCACTGTAATTAATCTCGAAAATGGAAAATGGCAAATAGACATTATTAATAATAATAATTTATTAATAATATTCTGTTTATCATCGTTCTATTGAAAGCACGATTTCCGCTATAATTATTAACCATTAGCTTAACAATTAATACAATCGCCATTCAACTTAAATTAATTAAAGGTCATTTATTCTTAAACTTAAAAATAGTGTAAAAAGGAGTTTCTATTTTAAGAGCTGCGTAACAAATTTGAAGGAGACACCTACACGTCTTCTCCGACACCGACTAAGAACAAAAACTAATTTATAGCCGCACGTTAAGTGTTTTGCTTCAATGTTAACTGTGTTTCTTGATCATTTAAACGTCTGTAGTGCACTGGTGATTGCAGTTTTGACCCTGTTTAGGTCGATCACTTTGAATTATACCTTGCCGCTGGGCGCAAGAGCCCTCCCATTTACGTCAATAATTGCAATAGCTTCTTCATTATGTTTTCCGCTTAAGTCGCTCTTATTTATTTTAAATAAGAGCGACTTAAGCGGAAAACATCAAATGGTTGTATGAGCATAGTCTAACAGACGAATATTAGGGTTTTACTGAAAATCAGTGTTGTAGCGTCCGAAACGGGCTATAGTTACAGTATATTTCAAATAAGTTTGACTAACATATATCGCGTTTTATACCGTTAAAGTGTTTTATTTAAATGCGTACTACTCGTGTAAACTACAGACAAATTATTATTATTCATTAATTTTATTGTCCAAAAAGCTAAGACTACTAATAATGTTTGTTTCAGATCCCCCGATACCCCAAATTTCCCTCATCGAACCAAGAGAGTCTCGCCAGCTAAGAGAAGACGAAGATGCAGTCCTACTCTGCTCAGCAGATGCATCTCCACCAGCGTTTAACTACACTTTCTATAAAGGATTTGAGGTATTCATTATTGTAAATTTTTCTATCTTTTAGACCAGTTTATTTAGTTAGTATATTTAATTATATTTTAGTTGTCAGGATACACTGTGTCATGTTTTATATTGGGAACATTGATAGATGTACACGGAAAATCCCATAATCGAAATTATATTTGATCAATTCCTCTAATGGCGCCTATTTCCAAAATATTACCGCGACATCAAGTTGTCGTAAAGTATATTTTTTTGTTTAAATAAAACATTCATAATCAACAGTCTCCCCGTGACCACGGCTGCTGCAAAGCATCCGTAACGTCGGGCCGTAGTTAAAAATAATTCTTAAACAAGTTTAACTAAAATATATCTCATTTTAAACCGTTAAAGTGTTTTATTTAAACGTGTACTACTCGCGCAAACTACAGGCACTATTTATATTTTTTTGGTAAATAAAGACTAGTGGTAAATTCAGTTTATATGTTTTTATCTAAGTTTATTAACACCGGGGGCAGCACATGTACTCGTACATAATGCTCGTTCATTATTTCGAAAGAATGACTCAAGGACAAACATTAAAACACCGCAATTCTTCTAATAAATCTCACTGAACCGTATCAAAAGAGACAAACAAGCTTAATTATGTAGTAATATTCCTCTGTTAACACAAGATCTGTTTTTCCAAGTTAATAATGAGATACGTGCACGCGTTCGCTGAAACCTAAACAAACTGGGAACCTTGCTTTGTACGTAATTAACATACTTTGTGTAACCTTCGGAGAATTATAGTTATCTCTCTCGTCGGGAAGCTAATAACTTGGATAGCTGATATGAAACTTTCACATAGACATGTAAAATATTGTATAACACGGTATAAGTCGTAATTTCAGTAATACTCAGTTTAATTTTATTTGAACAAGGTGGTTCTTTTAAGAATTTATAGAAATATATTTTTATCTAGCTGTGTCAGCGACTTCGTCCGCATACAATCGTTTTTTTGGGCATCCAAATTTGTTTTGGCAAACCTCCTCTTCGTCTTTATAACTTTTATAGCTTTTACCAACGACATCGGTCGCATCCCGTCGTTCGGGCCCCGTCGTTATTTTAAGATAAAATTTAAATATGATACTGACAGTCTAAGTGCGTGCTATAATTTCTTAATTAGGCTAGCTCACACTTCGTGTAAAAAGATAAAAGTAAAACTACCCGATATTGTTAAAGCTGTTCTTTCAGTTTTAAATGAGTTCGTAACGTATTTGAACTATCCTCGATTGATAATCGTTGTGCAATTCCGCTTTGATAAAGCAATAAACCTCTTGATATTTGCAAGTGAAGTCGTTCCACGCAAATTGAAAGTTAAGTCCGCGACTCCATTCGTATGGCGTGACGACACGTGACCCGGTAATTAGTATAAAATTAATTCAACATGAAAATTCAATTTATTATAGCGTAAAAGTAATAACTTTATAATAACGCTCCATTAACGATACTCGCCGTTCAATTACTTTTTCAGCGTGAAATACTCTAGCCAGTGTCGTATCGTGTTACGAAATTATCAACTTGACACTGACTGGACTCGGAATTATACTAGATAAAGCTTTGGGAACAAAATCGATAAAAAATATTTTTTTTTATTACAGCTTCATTATTTATAATACACGACAAAAAAACTTATGTACATACTTAACCTGATAAATTTAAGGCACCCTTATCGCTAAGCACCGATCTCTCCCAGGCAATCTGAAGTACAGGAGAGAAAAAAAATAGAAAAAGACTTTTAAAGATTATTAAAAGTACCGCTTCCGATTTTTGGTTTTATACGAACCCCTATATCATACTATTATTTAAAGTTACTTGTAAACTGTTGAATTAAGTTACTTAGTTGTTTTACATAACTCATGAACATAAATATATATAGGAGATCACAAAGATAGAGCTTAACAAAATTGATCGATTAAGCACTAAGATTTGCCAGTTGTATATTTTTTGCACTGCAGTAGGAAAAAAATAAACAGATTATTCGTCACAGGACCACCTGGTACGAGACGATCCCATTGGAGGAATCGCAGTCGAAGGGCAGAAGCTCTTCCTCCATGGCCTAAGACGACATCATTCCGCAAGATACCGGTGTCGGGCGTGGAACTCCGAAGGCAGTGGGTTGAGCGAGCCCCTGAACTTGAACGTCCTTTGTAAGTTACATTTAGTAGTAGTCGACGCTCAATAAAAAAACTAATGGAATCAATACGTTGCAAACGAAATGGTTTAAGTAGAATATATCAAAACTAGACGATAAAACTAACTTAAAACATTTTTTTAAATTTTAATGAAAATTGAGTTAAATTTAAAAATTTAAAAATATTTAGCTCTCCCAACAAAAAAAAAACCAAAGTCAGTAATAATGTGAAAGTATATAAGTATTGCATGTTTATCTTGAGTCAGAAATAGTGTATCTTTGGCATGTTTGTACACGGAGTAAGTAAACTTATGAAAATCAATACTATTTAAGTTACGTAAATAAATATTTAAATGATAACAGTGCTTGGGGTATGGAGAAACCCGCTCTATCAAGGAAGAAAATGTACACAATGAGTGCGTAAGGAATATAATGTAATAAAAACTTGGCAATTAAAAGGAGTGGCGGCGAGTTTCTTGCCAGTTCTTCTCGTTCGTTCTACGCCCTAACTTAGGAACTGGTAGTAACTGTCAATTGAGAGTTTTAAATTTTTACCAGTTTTGACGTTCATAAGTGTACTAAGCTACCTACATGAATAAATGATTTTTAATTTTTGATTTTACAAACAAAACTCGCAGACACACTATACCTTTGTCAAAAACTCTACTAAGTTAGGGCAACTAGAGGCTTATATATATTATTATAATTATTATTTCTCTAGCACAACCAGAATGTTCAGCTGGAAATGTAGTCCAGCAGATAGCTGGCGCTCCCGGTGGGGAGGTAAGGGCTCGCTGTTCTGTCAGTGCACCGTCTGCCAGAGACGCGGGACCGTTGAAGTTCTATTGGACCTACAATGGGACTAGAGACGTTCTACCTGTAAGTATGTAGAACATCGTGTCTAATTTTAATCTATACTAATATATAAAGCTGAAGCGTTTATTTGTTGGTTTAAACGCGCTAATCCCAGAAACTACTGGTGCGAATTGAACGATTATTTTTGCGTTGCTTAGCGCGTTTATCGAGAAAGGCTATAAACCGTACCGATGCGAACGTACCGGTACTAAAACGGTTCAATATACCCAAAAATATGTACGAAAGAATTATTCCTCCTAAAATGATCTAAAAAAAAAATCCGACAGTACATGTCTGTCTTTTAAGTCTAGATTGCAAGAACGTCGCGAACGTCGATGTCGTGGGTAATAGCTTAAATGTATAGAGTTAAACAGGAGGTTTGCGAAAACAAATTTTAATGCCCACAATTGTACTACACGGACGAAGTCACTGATGAACAGCTGTTTAGTATAATATTCTAAATAGGTGAGTCTCGGGCGATCAACGATTAGGAGTTCCAAAATGCAAATTCAATTTTGTGTTTGTAATCAAATATTCAATTTAAAATATTCTACAGTCTTATAAATAGGCACAAAAAAGATTATCGGCAAATCAATAATATATACGATTCAATAATGTCTGTTCGCTTTAGATTCCCGTATCTAATGTAACAACGATGGGCTCAAGCAGCACTGTAATCCACGGTCTTCCGAATATCGACGATGAGGATTTGGGGTGGTTGGCCTGCTGGGCCAGAAACGATATTGGAAACCAACGGGAGCCTTGCTTGTTCAGAATCATGCCAGCGGGTAACTTAATTTCATTCAAATTAATTTGTAAAAATTAAATTTCCTTATCTCTGACTCGGGGACGCTTTGTCAACTGTTATCCCTTATTACGGCCGTTAAATTGCGATGTTTTAAATAACTTGTTGATATTGGATAATATTTTCTTTACGGTCCAATTAGCGTTTAAAATATAATATTTCGATTTTAATTATCGTCATCTATACTAATATGTAAAACTAAAAAGTTTGTTTGTTTGTACTAATCTCACGAATTGGAATGAGGAGGAGGTTTGCAAAATCAAATTTGGGCGCTCAAAATTAAAATTTTACGCGGATGAAGTCGTTGACATAGTTTAGTACAACAATATAATTTTAATAATTATCAGGCTTTCCCGAACCTCCAAACAATTGCGCAATCGAGAATGATGTCATTAGATGTGAGGCCGGCCATGACGGAGGTCTACCTCAGTGGTTTGTGATGGAAGCGCTGGGAGTGAAACAGCACGAGATCGAAGGGAACGAACTGGATTCTACTATGAACGATCAAGTATGAGAATTTATCAATATAAAACTGGATATCTTGATGATATAAATCGATTGTAAATTTATATCCACAGCGTTCCGTGCTGTTGCTCTAGCCAATTGAGCTACCGAGCCCTACACGTTATCGTCGAGTTTCTTCAAACCTTTCGATTCATTCACCTCTCGCACAACATTATTTCAACTTTAACACTTGCGTATTTACTTGGTTAGAGCAATAGCAGGGAAGGCTGTGGATACCGGTTCAAGTCCTGCCCGCGTAGTAATTTTTTTAAATGCAAAATCGATTTTTGTGCCATCATGTGCAATAACAAATGATAATATTTTCTTTAGGGTGTATCCGGACGAGGTCTCACAGAGACTGTATACAAGACCAGCAACGATGCAAGCCCACAGTTTGCCCTCGACGCTCTAACTCCTGGGCGCTATACATTCCTGATATATGCTGTCAACCCTCGTGGTCGTTCCCTTCGACCAGCAGCATTGCATAGTGTTCCTGTTAGGACCACGGAAGACTTGGATAGACCAGGTTATTTTTGTTACAATAATCATTTTGAAACATTGTTAAACTTGTTTAAAAATTATATTGACTACAGCCGTGGTTAGTTTCGCCAAGTACCAACTACGTCGGAACAGATGGCGCTAGCGAAGCAGTTTTTACTTAGAAATTAGAGACACCCTCCAAATTTAGTCTCCTCATGACCACGACTGCTGCAAAGCATCCGAAACGTCGGACCGCACTTAAAATATTTTTCAAAAAAGTTTAAGTAATATATTTCGCGTTTTAAACTGTTAGTGTTTTATAGATTTAAAACTGGTTTCGTGACGTTCATAAATATATCTAGTTACCTTCTACACATAAATGATTCACTTTGACTTTATTGACTTTAATTTAATTGTCTACTACTCGCGTAAACTACAGATAGTACTTAAGTCTAATATAAGCGCAAAATAATACGCCCTGTAACAAATTTCTAACATATCTTTTAGGTTCCCTGCAAACTATGACTCCTGTGCCCCCACAAAACTCGAGTCCTCAAGACAATAGCGTAGCGCTCTTGGTTGGGGCAGTACTAGCATTGGTGATGCTGACTATCCTCACCACTCTATGCGTTTCCATGGTCGTTATGTGCAAGAAGAAAACACGCCCGGGCCGGGATACAGAACAGAGGTTTGATATGTACCTACTATTAACAGATATGAAAATTAGAAAGTTATCTATACTAGTGTATAAAGCTTAAATTCGTTCGTTAGTTTGAACGCGTTAATCTCAGCAAATATTGGTTCGAATTCAAAAATATTTTTTTGGAGTTTGGACCATTTATTAGGAAAGGTTTTAGTTTGTTATAAAACATCACGCCAGGACCAATAGGAGCGAATAAAGACGGGAGAATGTGGAAAAAATGGGTAAATTGTTAATCTTTGGGCGCCTTCATTGCCTGCGCCGCGAAAATGATTCAAGAAACTAGAAATCTAAGTATAAAAGAATAATTTTTCTTTAAACGATCTAAGAAATGTCCGTGATAGTATGTCTAGCTTTTGAAGATATACTCTCAAAAACGACGCGACGGGTTGTTTAATTTTTAAACGTTGTGAGCAAAAACTAAATAATATGATCCCTAAAATAAATACTCTACGCGGACGAAGGCCCGAGCACAAGTAGTTAGTTATAAAAAAACTAATTAACAAACTCCTTAATAATCGTTTTCTTTGGTGTAATCGCAATTTCAAGGTTTTTACTAATAGAGTAAAATTAGTTTCACCTATATCCTTTACGTTATCATTGGAATTATTTTGTAGTAAAACATGGAATGTTTTATATATCAGTCTTTCGGGCTGTTAGGCCAATGTGAGCGAGAAGAGGTTCTCGACGATTCACCATCACGTGTGGACGACATCATCAGATGTTAACCCCTCGATTGCTCGAAGAATTATCTCATAATTCAACAATCTTCTCGCTCACGTCGGCCGAACAGCCCGAAAGACAATGATATGCTGAACGATGGCCGTGAAAGCCTTATACAATTTATGGAATGTTTTATTGATAATCCCGTACATGGTCATTTATATAAGTATCGTTCGGCTTTTGTTTAAATACATTTATTTCGTATTTAGATTTTAAATCAATTACACGACACAATTATAAGTCTATTATATATATGCAAATCGATTATAAATTGAAAAAAATTACGACTCAGGCAGGACTTGAACCAGTATTCACAGCGTGCCATTGCTCAAACCAATTAAGCTAGTCAGTCAAGTTCGATCGAGTCGTATCTTTTTTTTCTATTTATAATTGATTTTTATATAAATACTGGTATCATGTATAACATGTGAAAAATTTAAAGTTTTCAAACCCTTATAACTACTTAAATAAAAAATTATAGAAACTGTTGTCTTGATGTCCTTATAAAAGTAACCATCATCTTTGTGACAGTGCCCTAACCCGAAACGTTGGAGTCTCAATGTACAGCGGAACAGCTCTGTCGCCGAGTATCGTGCCAACAGTTGTGGTGCGAGGTCATCGTGGGTCCAGAGTTCTCGCCGCTCGCTGGTCCGGTGTCCTGGATGATACTCCTCTAGCTGTTCTAGCTCTAGACACAAGACCTCATAGTAAGATATACGAGAAAACTTTAAACATTTAATCATAAATCTTTCTCAAAAGCGTAACATGACTGTAACTAGTTTTCACGCACGGCTTTGTCTTCGATGTTTTTTATCGCAATCCTAAACTAGGGTCTGACATCTAACTCTTTTTCTGAAACCTGGATGCGCTCACAGAGTAATGAATCGTGTCATTTAACTGGAGTACAAAAGTACGCAAATCCTAACTGGGCGACAGGTTCCCGGAATACTTGCATAAATTTAAGCGAAAGAACCCGACGTGTCCCCGTAACGGATCAACGCCGTATGTAATACTTATTTATTTTTATTTTTTTTTATTTTATTTGGAAAAGAATTAATTTAATTGGAAAATACAGTAACTGATGGCACTATGAGCATGCGTTCGAGGATGGAAGTCAAAGCAAAGACTAATAGAGTTGAAACACTTTAATTTTTTTTTGTTGTTTTTAAGCGATTCTAAATTACAACCTATCTTCTTTAAGTAACCCAGATCCCTATTAACCGTGGAAGGAGAAATCCCACTTGGAAAATACAGTAACTGATTGCACTATGAGCATGCGTTCGAGGATGGAAGTCAAAGCAAAGACTAATAGAGTTGAAACACTTTAATTTTTTTTTGTTGTTTTTAAGCGATTCTAAATTACAACCTATCTTCTTTAAGTAACCCAGATCCCTATTAACCGTGGAAGGAGAAATCCCAGGTCTTGAGCTGGTGAACAAAAACAAAATGTCTTTTTATACCGCCTCCTTCTTATCTATATATGGCATATACATATAAACATTAAAGATGTTTATATATATTACTTGGTACATTATGCTTATTAATATTGGTATTATCTGGTCTTAATTATCATTTCTTTCAATAGATATGGACACTCACAGCGAAGATGATTATCATGAAACCGAACTTATAACACACGAAAACATGGAGACCCAAACTGACGCCTAGTGCAGTACCGCATGTATCAATAACGATTTAATTATATTATTCCTTTTCTACCTATTTTTGTAACTGAAAGTGATAGTATGCATGCAGTATTATTGTAGTGATATGTAATGTGAACTAGGTTATATGTAATTTGTGCTATAATTTTAGTTATCTTGGAACATTATTTTTAATTGAAGTGTTAAGATTTCTATACTCAAAACTCAGACAACTGTGTGATCAAGTTATCACGGACCAATGATTTTAAACCATAATTTGTAAATACATTTTGATGTTATATGTAAATAAATACCAAAGAATTTCGCTGATTACCAATTCTAGTTTTTCATAGGAATAAAACATTTCTAATATACGGGTATTTTAGTTTGCTAAGTATTTATAATTGAGTTTGGGTTATCGATCATAATTGATAAAAGCTCTGTTTAAATTAAAAATACAAATTTAATTTAATATATTGTTATGAAAGAAAATATGATCTAAAGTTGTATTTAGTTTTCCTAAATATCCTTCGTCATAAACAATTGCTGAACTAATGTATGTGGCCTTATGTGACATAGTATTATTCCCATATTAATCTATAAGTGTAACTCTTACAATAATTTTGTATGTATAAAATAAGATAGTTAATTTTATCTATATTACTTCACGATTCAAAGATCAAAGATTCAAGATGACTAATTTTCGGTAGAATCACCTTTTTACAACCCATTACTTGTCTTTATTATTCAAATAAGAAAGCAGCCACATAATTTAACATATTTTTCAAAAGATATCATATATATGAATCACCAAAGTTAATGGATAAATTATTTTCATAATTTTTAATTAATCATCTGAATGTATACGTTTTAGTATAACATTGACCCCAATTTCCGCCGAATAAAGTATAGTTTATGTAAACGTTTCTCTTTTATTTTGACTACCTTGTCTGCCTTGTATTTTATATTCGAATTTCCCGGAACAAAAAGGCACCACCGGGCATAAAATTAGGCGCAGAGGTTAAGTCACAAAGATAGACGCAGACAGAAACAGTCTCGTCTGTACTTAACGGATAGATGGTTGATGGAAGGTAAACCAGTCCAGCCATATATTATCTTAAGCGTTTATTAATGCACAGTATAGATAAAAGTCTGTCTCAGTATTTTCCAATAGAAACACTAAGCTGAACCGCGAAGGAAGCCAAGATCTCTAAGTAGTAAGTAAATAAAAAGCCGAAGTTGAAAGCTTCAGAACCAAGATAAAAGTTTAGTTTCGTTCCTAGTCGTTCTTTATCTATTCTATCTGAATTCCTACGTCACATACTCTTTAAAAACGATTAATGTCACAAAATACAAATACGTGTATGATGATTTTGATAGAAAGAAAATTAAAACATTTTTAAAAGCTTGACTCAAAACCGCTATAGACAGACAGATACCGTGTATATTACGCAAATTGAGTATTTTAATTAAAAAATAAAAGTTTAAAATAACACATCTTTAATAAATACTTGTATTAGCATTATTTTGGCTGTCGAATGTCGAATCGAAGTCTAGCTGTTAGCTCTATTGCTGTTTTCAGAACTACGGGTAGTTTGAGTTCTGGAAACGGTTAGTAGTAAATAATCAGTAAGTATAAAAAATAAGACCGTGTACAATCGTGAAAACATGTTTCAAGCCAACAGCAAACCGGCAAAGGGGGAAAACATATGGACGGGATCCCTACTACACAATTAAGCTACTATTGAAAGATTTTTAGTTAAATCTGTTTTTTTACTTTATTTACACTTTATATACTGAAAGGTAAGTCACTCCCAGCTAAGTTTTCAGCCATCCACTTTTTAGCATGAGCTATCAAGTCCTCATCGAAGTAATCCTGCCATCCTCCAGCCTTGCCTGAAATATAATAATTCTTATAAACTTGCAAAATTTTGACAACACTTGAAAAATTTAATTTTATCCATATTCGCATTATTTATATTATAGTCCATTAGTTCGTTGATACCTTGGTATCAAGCTCATTTCATACCTCTCCTGACAAACGAATGTTCTCCATCGTCTATAAAACCGATCGCTTTATAAGTAGACTCCCGATTGACAGCTTTGTTCTTCTTGAAATTCTCAAACCTGAGATGCTCATGTAGCTCCCGCATTTGATCGTCGTTAAGTTGCTTTCCAAAGAAAGTGGCCAAACAATGAAGAGTCGATGGCAGGTCCTGCATATATGATTATTTATAACAATACTTCTACCCAAAGTAGTATAAATACGAAGGAATATCTCAGAGTCGCTCTAATGTAGTGCTATGTGGACTGGACTTGTTGGGAAAGTTAGAAGGGCGTGTTTTAAATAATACATTGGTCTAAGTTATTATGAAAGACTGACGTTTACAGTCGATTTCCCTCGTTAAAAGTAACGTAACGTCGAAAAACATTTTTTCATAAGCTCGTATTAACAAAATGGGAATCCTCTAACATAGGTGAAAATAAATTTTAAAGAAAGCCAAATGTTTTAAACCGCTACAAGTATAGCATTGTGTGGCATATCGAATTGGATACCAAACAAGTCGCAATGTCAAACACAAATTAATTAAGATAACATCAATATTTTAAGCAAGTACGTCACGAAACAATGTAAAATGTCCTTGAAATAGTAACAATGGTATTGTAAATATACCAATATTTGCGGGTTTTAAATATTTAAAGAACCGTGAAAAATTAAGCAAGCGCGATAGTTTAGATGGCAAAGCCCTATGGCATATATTTAATTTCATGGGTAAGCCCATCTGTTACACAATTTTTCAATGTCTAGTATACCTAAAACTAAAAAAAATTATATCATCCGGCTAGCGACTTCAAGTATTAAAACAAATTTACAAATGGCTAGTTATTTCATTAATATTAGTTAAGCTGTTTATGGCAATGAGGAGAACAAAGAACATACACACCGAACAAACTTTCGTAATTCCATTATATTAGTTTGTTTAGCTTTCGTTATATTAGCGAGTTATTGTTTACTGAAAGACGATAGATTTCTTGACTCACCGCCGACATTTCTTCGTAAGTGACAAATAAGAGGTTCGGATGATCTCTCAGTGCCCAAGCTTCCTTAATGTGGTCAAAATTTGGAGTCCAACATACTAAAATCATATAATATTCTAGTCTAGTAATAGTAATTTATATAGAATTTTCATATACAGTAAAGATATACTTACTTTTTTCCTGGCTAAATAAATCCCAGAATGTTTTGAAATCTATATTATCCTTCAAAAACATTAGTTTTAGGAATTTATAAAACGATACGGCCATATCCCTAGGATCTCGGGCCACGTATACAACCTGCGTCAGTATAATATGTATTAATTTAATGACTATGAATAAATAATTTTCGAATATTTACTTATAACAGTATTATATAAAAAAGTATTGCTAAAATTTATTTTTAATTAATATTGTGTTGTCAAATATTCCACTCTGTAATCTCATCTTTAATGATTTTCTTTAGCTGCATAGCATAAGAAAATGAACCTTAATGCACATATGTTAATGTTTAAATTACATTGCGCGAGAGGTGCATACTTCAATAGGTTGAAAAATTTAACTTTGGCGTGTAGGACACGGTAGCTCAATTGGTTAAAGCGACAACACGGAACGCTGTGGGTGTCCGTTTAAGTCCTGCTCGTATCAGTTTTTTAAAATCTAAAATCGATTTTAATGTAAGTAAGAGTAAGAGTTCAACCGAAAAACAATCAATATGTTTTCTGATATCGAACCTCGCTCGCTATTTGCAACGCGTACAAACTAGAGCTAATTAAGTTTGAAATTACTCTGATGGTACCTTCGTGGTGTCAAGTAGCTTCGGTGGTAAGAGCGACAGTGGTAAATGGCTCTTAATAAATCTAGGCGATGGAGCATCTGGTAGCCATTTCAATGGGGATTCAAAACCCTTGACTGTCGATGCAGACGAAGATTCAAAAATTTGGGAGGTTAGTAATTGCAAACTACAAACAATTAGAAATGTTGTTATAACTGACTACTTTGAAGGAGGACAGACAAATCCCGATTGGCTCCGAAACATTTCAAAAAGGTCCCCGCCGACCTATTTTAGCCATAAGACTGTGAAACCGAAACATGGTGTTTTTATCTGTAGACGTTGGGTCGGGACCCGACTGGAAGTCCAGATTTCCAGACAAAGTCAAACTTGTTTGGGAAAAATTATAAATTAAAACAAGTTTAACATGTCGGGGATCGAACCCGAATACTTAGACAAACGAGCCCGTCAAATTATATCGATTAGTATTAATCCTTAGATTTACTTGATTATTACAATTTGTGAAGTGGTTTTTGAATAAAGCAATATTTGGAAGTGACTACTTACTCAAGTAGAGGAAATCTATCGGAAATGATGTTGGCTTTGGCTTTTTCGTAGTCTAAATTATTGTTCAACAGCCATATAGTCTCTTGTGACCAAGTTGTACCTGTCAGTAATGTTATACCAATTTATAAAACGATCGTTAGAAAAATACTCCCTGACACGACAAACGGCTGCTTAGCCGTATAAATTATTTCTAGTGTGCATAGAAAAAACGTTAGAAACTTACTGAGTACATAATTTAATAAAAATCGGTCGAGCCTTTCGGGGAGTTTGATAACTAACACTGTGATACGAGAATTTTATATATGTTAGACATCAATTAATTTTTATAATTACATATATTTTAAATCGTCTTATTTAATAAAATCGTGTCTTTAGTTTAGAACAATAATAAGTAGATTACTATATCCGATGGTGGCCGGGAGTTCGATATCTAGTTGTGCAACTGATAGTAATGTTTATGTCTGTACCTGACCGAGGTAAGCCGACCAGGAATATGTCGTTAGGACGAATTTCAAAGTTGTAAAATTGTGGCCCCAAGATGCTGTATGCACCGGGAAAACGGTACCGTTTGGGTCCAACAGTTACGGGTTTCATTTTTGATTCTGGAAATATTCGATTAAAATAGATTTATTTTCATTTGTCTCATTTGGCCGTTGTTTCGTGTTACTTCAAAAAACAGATAATCTAAATCAAGTATTATCTGAAAAATAAAAAAAAATATGGAAGAATGAATCAACTTACGAATAGATTGAGAATTAGCTTCCTCAATAACATATGGAAACTCATAGTTTCCTTCTTCCATGTTCCTAATCATTGATACACACAACTTTCACTGTTGTACTTTATAATACGAATGTTTTAACGAGTACAAACGCTAAGACGTCGTTTCTAATGTTTATCTTCTTTGGTAATAAATATTGTATACAATATTGACGAGTTTTGTTATCAGAAGTTATCCATATTAAAAGGCATAATACAATGACGTGCTACGTCCACACTTGTTTTTTACAATTTCTGAGCGTCTTTACTAAATAAAAAGCCTAAACGGTATAAAACGAGTAGAGTTGTTGATAAATTTATCCTTGTAGGTTTCCGATGCGTACGCTGCGAAAACGGTTCAAGATATCCAAAAATTATGTATGGAATAATGATGGTTCTTTAAATGATCTAAAAAAGTGTCCGCGACACAATATATATTTATCTTTTAAGAAGAACTACGGGACGAGACCGATGTCGTGGGTAACAGAAAACAAATTTGGATTTGGATGCCCAAAATAAATATTCTACGCAGATGAAGTCGCTGACACAGCTAGTGACAGATGCATGGGGGAATACTACCAGCCATATGATGTTTCAGCAAAATGCACTGATAGAACCTTACAAAATATTTTGTTTCATGTTTTTCTGAAACAGTTTGAAGTGTGAACACGGCGTTACATTTATAGTAAGCATATATTTTTAATGAGAAACATGTACATATAATGTGTTGCTATTAGTAAGTACTTTATTGTATTTCCATCGCGCGTTATTTAAAAACTAGCTAAGTCAGCGACTTTATTCGCATCGTAGTTGTTTTGGGCATCCAAATTTGTTTTTGCAAACCTCTACTGCATCCTTATAAATTTAAGCCGTCTATGACATCGATCGCGTCCCGTCGCTCGCGACCCATCGACGGGGAACGACCTTCGGGTCCCGTCGATCTTGCAAGTTAATCTTGAAAGATAGACATATAGTATTGCGAACATTTCTTAGATTATTAAAGAGGAATAATTCCTCTATACATATTTTTAGGTGTCTTGAACCGTTTTCGCAGCGTACGCATCAGAAACTAACAGTGACGAAAAATTTCCCCCGTTTTCTTCACATTTAACGCTGTATTTTCGCTTCTATTAGCCATAGCGCAATGTTTTATAGCATATGGCCTTCCTCAAAGCTGGAGGGATGGTTTGATTGTTTGAACGCGCTAATCTCAGGAACTACTGGTTATGTCGTAAAAATTATGGAAGTATGGAAAAAAATATGTATACAGAATGATTCCAATTTAAATAATTAAAAAATGCTGGCGAAAGTATCGGCTTTATAACAAAAAAAAAAAAAGCAGAACTGCGCAGTCTCGGTTCAACCCTTAAACCATGGTCTACGTAAATCGAAGTTAGTACCATAGTCCAGTACAAACATTAAACTTCGTTTAGTAATAGGTGTTTCAAATAAACCAGATTTGAGAGTTAGTCTTTGTATTGTAATAAGATTGTATATCTTTGTCTTTTAACTTGCAAGAACGACGGGATGCGTCCGTCGTCTTGGGTATATATAAAAAAAGGTTTGCAAAAAGAAATGTTGATACACAAAATAACTATTCTACGCGGACGAACTCGCTGACGCACCTAGTAATAAGTTAATAGTATGCACGTGAACGTCTCACATTAGGATATTATTAGTAGGTAAATTAAATTGAGACCTTACAGCTTTATATGACACATAATGCTATATATACCAAATATTAACGATATTTTTACAGCGCACAATTTGGCAACAGCGTAGCGATATTGGCATATTATAGATTTATTGATCTATTATAATAATTCTCATGGCCTGTTAAAATAAATGCGAGGGAAATTCCTTTTTCATTCTGGATGCAATGGGGGCGAGTTGGGGTGATGGATTGAACTCGTATTTTTTACAGTAGGTATTCCAATTTCTGATGAAGTAAAATCTATTTATTTTTCATTAGTATTTGCACAAAAAAGCCGACATTTCTTCAAATACTAATGTGCTTGTTAATGACAAAAAATGCGTGACCAACCTGTTTCTATTTTATTTAAATGTTTAAAATAGTTTTGGTTTAATGACAGATTAGAAATAATAGAATGTGCATAAAATACGTCTTAAATCTACGAAATCCATAGATTCATACTATTTTCCTGTAAACATGGTAACCAACCTGTTCAAAGAGCTCTTTCCTAAAAACGCATACATACATAGCTAGCATATTACTAAACTGGGAGAAGAGTGGGGGAGATGGTAAAATACTTTCAATTTATGTAACTGAAGAAATAACATGTAAAAAGCGATATTTACATTTTGTTCTGTCATTATATGATATTATATATCCTAATTTCAATAAAATAACTATTACGAACTGAGATATCGTATGAAGAATCTGCCATAACATTAGAGAAAACTTTTGAATACGTCAGCTCCACTTACGTCAAGCGGGTCGTGATTAAATTAGATTATTGGGTTCCGTACATTTGCATACCGCACTCCACTCGGGAAGACAGATTTATTGAACCCGCGGAACTTATTTAGGAGTTGTATGATGGTTCGCATCGGAAAACGGATTATGAAAATATTGAAATGAGCGAAGTAAATGTTTAGTAAGCAAAATTTGTTTTCGCGGTATAAAGTGAATGTTTTAAATTATAAAAGACCAGACTGTTTTCGGGAATCACAGTGCGTCTTTTCCATAGGCAAACAATTGCATAGTTCACGAAATAAATATTTAAACAATTTAATTGTTTCTTTTAAAAACTCTTCTATTGGTTTAAATCGGGAATATATTAATCAACCTAATTTTCATTATGGCCCGACATAACGTTTCCTTGTATATTAGTGCATATATGTTTGTCGTCATATTTAAGTAAATATGTAAATTCATATTTGTTAAAACTAAACAGCAGTTTTTAACTTGCATGTTTACGAGATAACTTATCTTAAACCTAAGATTGAAAAATTTAAGGAAGAATCTCATAATATAGTGGTAATAAGAGGAACCGTATTGTGTAAAGAGAGTAAGAAACGTATCAAAGGCCGCCGTCACATTCTAAATTACGACAAGGAAGCGCGGTGTTTCCAGCGAGAGCCCTCACTCCGGCGGTTTGTAAATTATTAAATTATACGAACAACATTACGTCATACAGTACAGAAATAAGTTTGTATTTTCTGGCAACATTATAAGCACATAAATCATTTTAAATCTTTCTCGCGAGCGGCTTACGCGAACTTATTATTTTGGCACGGCCAACTTATAACTTATACGTTAGGTTTTTATTAAATACAATGTGCTTTGAGAATATTGTGTACATGCAAAATGTTATACCGATTTACCCCAAGTGATCGTATTTAACATAAACACATAGATAGTAAATAAAACCACTTTGAACCGATTATAACGAAAACGCGAAATGCATGGTCATACTTAAAGATTATTTAACAAATATATATCGTATTGTCTGTAGTTTAAACTGTTTAAACGCGAAATATATTAGTTATTTACAATTGTTTTAACTACGGTCCAACGTTATGAATACTATGCAGCAGCCATGGTCACGAACGGAGTGAAAATAAGGAGGGTAGCATTATTTCAAAGTCAATAACAGATGGCGTTACGCTAACGCTGATTTGGCTTTGGCATTAAGGATCTCTTTTCAGTCGCACAGTAAAACAAATTGTAAATTAGTGGACTTATATGTTTCGCGACTTAAACCGTTAAAAGTGTTTTATTTAATGTGTCTCACTCGCGTAAACCACAGAGAATATTTCGATACACCCGTATCTTTTTAATTCAATGAGAATGTGACTAGATACCACACTCCTAAACCGCGCCCGTTAAGTAAGTTATTTAACAAAATCAATTAACGAGAAAATCAACAACAATTTAAGGACGGGCCCAAGTAAACAGCATTAATATCCGTCACCGTACGTAAAGCTGGGCATTCTTACCTCATAAAAATGGATATTTCCCTACTAAACCCTACCATAAACACAACACCGCCAAGATATAACCTGCCGACGAAATAGAGCTTAACACAAAAGAATAGAAGCGACTTTCGCTCAGCATACGATATGTTTATCCTGGCAAACCCCTCTATGTAATGTCCCCTAATTCGGCCATAAAAGTATAGCGCTCTTAAGTTTATTGCAATCTAAAGTTAATAACTTAGAAGATGCTTTATGCAAGCCCTTTGATGGTTTATAAAACATGATTAACGTCTTGAAATTTGTAGCCTTGATTGGTATTTATAAGCCATCGGCAGTATCGATTGATTTTAAAATTGCAAGTAGCTGTTGAATATTTATACTCTATTGTATAATATACAAGAAGTACAAACGAAAATAATATAGAAAATATTCTAACATGACCGCAATTGGTAGCGTTATAACAAAGGCGACACAGACTGAAAGAAACAGGTTGTGGGCGAAACAATATACGTTATCTTAAAAATAAATGGAATTAAAAGTAACATACATTTACTATAGGTAAAAACGAAGCACAGATGAAACCGTGAAAAGCCGCGAAGTTTAATCGCGTTTCGGTTTCAGTCTCTTGATGTCGGAGTATCCAAGGCAATAGGTCGACAGTCCATCTTGTTTAGATGTTCAAATGAACCTCATGCTTGTTTGTTCTTCTCTATTATAAAACCGAGAATTGGGAGGAGGACGATGAAGAATATTCACATTTTCCCACAGTCCGCCTTCCCAGCTGTTTACGGAAAGCAAAAAGATGGTTTTCTCAAGCCATACGCAAACCCTTAATAAAAAAAATAAAAAACACTTTTTAATTCAAATCGATGCCTCTATGGTAATAAAAGAGAAAGAAGACCCTCGAGGTCATTTCAATATATATTTCAGTGACCCCGATGGCGTCACAGTATGCGCCAGGCGAAATCTCCCGAAGTCTAGTTATCTCCAGCGGCTGTCAGTTATAAAGCGAATGAGAAAAGTCAAACGAAGCCTTCCGACCGCTCTTCGCATCGCATTACTAACACTCCGTGACTTGTCTTAGTCTAGGCCACGAAACGT